TTATGTAAAAACTTTTTTATATATAAAAGTTTTATCTAACCTGCCAGGCTATTTTTTTTATTTTATATTATAAGAATTAGCAAATTAACTTTGTATAGTCTAAATATTTTTCTTTTTAATTTACAAATTTATAAAAAATATTTAAATTATATAGTTTTTAATTTATAACTTTTTTTATTATACAAACTATATTTTACTATTAAGTAAAAATGTTTGTTATATTATTTTATATATAAAATAAATTTTTTTTAAAATTTAAAAAAATTTTATTAGAATAATTTATAAATAAGTACTTGTAAATATAAAAAATATAGTAATTATTTATATAAAATATACTTATATGCAAGTTTATAAAATTATAATTACTGAGTTGACCAGTGATATTAATACTGATTACAGGTTTAGAGAGTTTAAAGTAGAACATCCAAGCAGGAGTATTAGGTACAGCAATTGGTAGAGAACCTTCAAGTGAACTCCTTAAATAGGTAATATAGAAAAGTTACACATGTAGCCAATTGTATGCTCTCTTGTAGTAGTTCATTGAACCACAATACCAATAAGTGATTAATAAAAGTCAAAAGACCAAAGAGGTTACCTTAATATCAAAAAAAATAATTATAATTAATATATTTTTAAATAATATAATTTAAAATATATATTAAGAAGTTTATTTTATATATATAAATATAAATAAAATTTTTAAATTTTAAAAAAATTTTATAATTACTAAATTTTTTTTTTTAAAATTAAAGTTCTTGTCATTAAAAATCAATCAATATTTTTATTTATATATTTGAACATAGGTACCTCAAAAGGCTCTCTTATATTAGAAGTTACAACTAGCCACATATGCACTTTTGAAGTCTAATTTAAGTAATCTGCCTATATATTACTCTACAGTTTTTATACTAGGTATTATACTTGCAAGCCAGTTACAAGTTTTGTCTATTTAAACTCTCTGCATATGTAGTTCATTATATTTTACAGTAATATCTTTAAAGCTACACTTATTCAAAGTATTTGATGCCTTCAAAATCCTTAGAACTAGTTTATTCTTAAAAAAAACTTACTAGAACCTTTTATGTCTCACATACAGCTAACCTAGTTTTATATAATTTACTATAGTTGCCTAATACTTGCAGTTACAAAGATTATCTATTTAATTACTATGTTATATTATTTCTATTCTTGTAAAGTTTACTAGAACCTTAGTACCTATCATCATAATGTCTTTTTTATTATCTTTTACTAACTTCTACTTAGAACTAACAAAACTTTTCTGACTTTCAATCCAGATAATCTGGTGTGATATATATATATATATTCTTTTCTTTTAGAAATTCTGATAACCTGGTTGGTCATATGTGCTTCTACATATCTTGTTATCCAGTTTATCCACCTATTTTTTTAAAGGTGTTTTATAGACTTCCATTAGTCTGATCATATTGTTAAAAGTTTATACTACCTCTTTACTTGAAAATTTCTAAGTAGGCTTCTGACTATTCAGTTTTTTAGTTTATTGTACCTAGTGGTCTTATTATGGGTTTGCATTATAGCCTTATGTAATACTAGTTATACATTTTTCTATATACATGTAATATTATACTTTGCATAGATGCTCTAAGCTTTCATTTAAAATAGTATGACTTAAAGTTACAAATACACTAATTTAATTGATTATTAAAAGACAGTTTGCTATAATACAGATATAATTTTTCAAATTTTATTATAGGTAAAATTTGAATACTAGATCTGTTACTTAGAAAATAACAACCTGACTATTATATTATAATTGTTATCTCTATTACAAAATTTTTTTTTTTTAATATTAAAGTCTTTGCCTTTGAAAACTGATGTTTTATTCAAGTATTTGAACACAGATGCCTCTAGGAGCTTCCATATATAGGAGGTTACAACTAGCTATATATGCACTTTTGGTACTTAATTTAAATAGTCTGCTTATATATTATTATACAGGTTTTATACTTGATATTATACCTACAAGTTAACTACAAGTTTTGCCTATTTAAACCCTCTGCATATGCAGTTCAACTTGTAATCATAGAAACATCTTTTAGACTATACTTATCCAAAGTACTCGATGTTTTCAAGACTCTTAAGACTAATTTATCTTTAACAGAAAACTTACTAGAATTTTTTGTATCTCATATATAGCTGATCTAGTTTTATACAACATGCTATAGTTATCTAACACTTGCAGTTACAGGGGTTACCTATTTAACTATTATGTTATACTATTTCTAACCTTGTAAAGTTTACTAGAACCTCAGTACCTATCATTATAACATCTTTTTTATCATTCTTTACTAACTATTACTTAGGACTATAAGACTTTTCTGACTTTTAATTCAAATAGCCTAATATAATATACATTTATATTCTTTTTCTTTAATGATTTTAGCAGCCTGATGTTAACTTGTAGTTTTTTTTTTAATCATAGCAATAACAGAAGCTGCTCAACTATAGTATGATGACTATAACTTAACAAATTTTATACAAAAGTTTATACAAAACTTAACAAAATACAAAGTAATTTGGAATTTTAAGGCAAAGGCAACAATAAATAATATATAAAGATACTAAATATTGCATTTAGTTTATTAACTATAAAATGTATGAAAACATTTTCTATTAAAATATATAGAGACACTTAGGTGAAGTGTAAAAGCATTTAACTTTCTTGAAGAATCAGAAAGCAGTGCTTTTATAGATATTTTACATATATAAATTATTACAATAAAGACTACTTTATTGCTAATAAATGCTATTTATACTAATATATTTTTTTTTTGGTATTAAGATGATCTCTTTGGTCTTTTGACTTTTATTAATCACTTATCAGTATTATAGTTCAATGAACCATTACAGGAGAGAGTACAATTGGCAATACATATAACTTTTCTATATTACCTATTTAAGGAGTCCACCTAAAGGTTTCTTACTAATTGCCATATCTAACACTTTTGTTTAAGTGTTTTACTTTAAACATTCTGAATCTGTAATCTGTATTAACTTACTGGATCATACTCAGATGCCCAGATCATTATCTCAACCTTAGGATTAATTTATCCTTGAGGTAAATCTTTCAGAGCCTTCTGTACTTATTTTTACAGCTGACATAGGTACTGTACACTACTGATTATAGTATCCTCTGAATATAATATCCTCTATTAAAAAGACTCAGGTACTAATCACGAGATCAAGATTTAGAAAATTGAATTCGACCCAGGTATTAGTAATGAGATCCTAGTTATATAAATGCACAGAATATAATAGAATTCAGCAATAGTATCTGATATGTAAACTAATATACGATAACAATTCAAAGATAGACAAGTTAAAATAAAGAAAAATTTCAACTTAGGTCATTTAAATTTAAAACTTCATTTAATGTTATTTTCTCTCGCACCTTCAAAGTTCCTCTCAAAAATTAAACAATTAAAGTATTGCAGAAAAATTTGAGGCAGATCGGAAAGCTAGACAAACAAAAATAAGCACAACCTATTTTAGGTTTATGTAAACCTAATTTAGGTTCACTTTAACCTACTAAACCTCATTTAATTTTAATGTTTGTTTAATTTTTCTCCACTTCTCTTGGACAAACATAAAGAAATAACATTAAAACAAAGTTTCAAATTCAAACAGCCTTAACATTTCAGCATAAATGAATCTACCAGTATTTGATACCTAGTTAAAGAAATTTTGACTTGTATTTTTAGCAACCCTATTATAAAGATTAAGTACATACTAGAATTTTATGAAGGCATTTTGTTTAACAAGTTTGAAAAAAGAAAATACAATTAATAAAATATTTGTTACTAATTTACTATGATAGACTTTAATAAACTATTTAGACAGCATTTGAACTATTTTTCTATTTATTTATATAATGCTAATTACAAATTAACATCTTATATGTAAAGAAAATTAAAATTTACATATAAGTAAAAAAAAAATTGTGATTAACATGCAAGTAAAAAAAAAGTTTGATTCATTTTTGCTATATAATCCATCATTTTTTCATTTTTTTTTTAATTTTTTGAAAATTTTTTAACGCAAATTTCATATTATGATATTTAAACTGCAATTGCTTCGTTATTGTTTTAATATAACCTTTAACCTTCAGCTTTAAATTTCAGATGCAATAACATAATCAATAAATTTAATAAAGTTATATTAAAAAAATATAAAAAAAACTTAGCATACTTACCTTTAGACTTTCACCTTAAATTTCAAACATAACCAAATAAATTTATTAAAGTTATATTAAAAAACTGATTAAAAATTTAAAAAAAAAACTTGCATTATTTAATATATATAACACTTTACTTTTGGGTTTCAAGATTTATAAGATTATGTTCAATTATTAATATAATTAATTTCTTCTGCTTTATAATAATCATCTTCACTTCTATTATTAAAAGTAATTTCATTATTGTTATCAAAATCAGCTTTATATTCATAAATAGGATCAGCTTCAGTTTCATAAATAGGATCGGCTTCAGCTTCATTGTCAGTATCATCTTTACTCATAAGATTAATTACCTCTACTGAATTAAAAACTTATAAATTAGTTAATACTATATTTATATAGAATTTTTGCCTTGAAGATAACCTAATGGCACATAGTAATTACTATATGCTATAAGGCTATTTTCAAGGCAAAAACTTTATATTATTAATTGATAACTTATAAACTATATTATATTTCATAAACCTTTACTAATATTTATATTTGAGCTTTCACTAGTATTTGTATTAGAGCTTTCACTAGTATTTGTATTAGAGCCTTCAACAATATTTGTATTGAAGCCTTCAGCAATATTTGAACCTGAACTTTCACTAGAGTTTTCAAACTCATCTTACACATACATATGGTTACGTGAGTTTGTACGTTGACCAAGTCTATCATAATCAAAAATTAAGCTATCTTCTGTGCCATCTTGTGAGTTAGATATACCACAACACTTGAAAGCTTTTCATATAAGGTTAGAATCAGTATTATTCCATGTCTGAAGTATCCATTGAGTGACCAAATTATATGCAGGGCATTGAATACGACCTGTCTTAGTATAAGTTATAATACCATTATCTAGCCAATCATTATAATAATGCCATATCTAAAATAAAATTTATTAAATTATTTATTTAAATATAAGTTTTGCTAAATTAAAACCTGAAACTAAATATATCGATATTTAGTTCCAGGTTTTAATTTGGCATAACTCATATAATAATGATAAATAAATAAATTTATTAAAGTACCTTTGCCTTAAATGATTTATTTATAGCCACATTTAATAGTTGTAATTTTGAAGTACAACCTCCTGGAATTATGGCTAAATTAGTATTTTTTTCAAAAAATCAACACTTAACAGTATCTTCTATATGTCCTTTAAATGAATCTAAAACTAAAAATGAGCACGAATCTGTCCTTCCTCTATAATTTTATATATTCTCTATCCATCATAGCATTTCATTTGAATTCATCTATCCACTAGGATTTACACGAATAATTACACCTGCAGGAAATGTTTGCCTTGGAACATTCATAAGTTTAAAAATAATAACAGGTGAAAGTTTAGTTCCATCTGTCATACAAGCAAGCACAACAGTAAAATTTGATTTTTCATAACCAGAAGTTCTTAATAAAACCGTATTTATATCACAATCATCAATTGTTACATTGGTGGGAAGATCGAATGACATAGGAACCTCATCCATATTATCTATTAAGGCAAGCAGATAATCAAATTGAATTCTATGATATACAATCAAACTTAAAAATTTCTGTAGTGCAGGTTGTAAATCTTCTGAAAGTTTTTAGGCTACAGTTGTTCTACGTCTATTACTTAATTTGTGATGAGTCATAAAGCTATCAACCCATTTATCTGAAAATTTGGCTTCAGAAATATTAGGATATAATGTAGCGTAGGGAGATCTTTTTGATAATGCTTTTGCTTTAAGTTGAACCATTGATTGTGTTACAGGTTTAAGTGCACTTCGCAAATCTTTTACCCAACCATAAATTTTATTTTCTAATTCAGGATACTTTGGTGGTCTTCTGTTATTTAACTTTCTAATATGAAGTAAAACACGCATTAAATTTTCTTTTTTATTTCGCTAATCTCTAACTTGCTTTGGTTCTATATTGAAATGTGTAGCAGTTGCACAAACACTATTACTAGAGTGCTTTTCAAGAAATGTAATGATTGCAAGTTTCTTGTGAACATTCCACTGCACTTTTTTTTTTGAGTAATTCGAACCTGGTTATGATTCTTATTTCCACATACTGTAGTATAAAGAAATATAGTAAATAAAAAAAGAAAAAATCTTATTTAAACATACTGTTATCTAGTGGTACCATATTTTTTATTTCTTTAAAAGTAAACTTTACATGTTGCAGTATAGTAGTATCGAACTATATTAACTAATTAATGTACCCTTATTGTAAAGTACCTCTGCTACAAAGTACCCCTCTGTATTTATACCCGCCCCCTGTAATTAGTACTCAGGCAGGTACTATTCAATAAAATCGGTGGTTAAAAGAATAGTACCCTGGGTATTATAGTCAGTGGCATACAGTATTACTATGGCAGAACTAACATTTGTGATTAGAGCTAATCATTAAACTGCTATGCCCTTGTAAAGTTCACTTAGACATTAGCATCTACTTCACAGCATAACCCTGGTACTTTAGTATACCTCTGCCTTTTCTCCTATCTTTTTATCAAACTTCCAATTCAGATAGCCTGTGTAGAACTACGACTAGTTCATCAATATATCAGATCAGCCTAATATCTTTTTCTTCTAGTTTGTTCCAGCAGTCTGGTTGGTAATACCTCTGAAATTCCCAATTTGAAGGTTTTTGCCTGTCTGGCTATTACAACTGAGTACTAGACCTTGGTATCTGTTTCACTAAGCTAGTCTTTACAGTAGAGCCATCAAAGATCTAGCTATCTCTTTACTTAGGTTTTCTCAAATAAACTTCTTGTTACCTAATTTCAACAGATTTACATGGCTACAAGGACTTATTTAGTGTTTGTACTACTTAATTTGTCAGTTTGCATTCCTTTGTGTAACTTCAACATTGCACAGATGCCCTATGACCTGTCAGTCATGCTGATGCAACTGCTATTACAGGTATCTTAACCTAATTATTAATAACAGTTGACATAATATAAATATTATATAGGTAATTATCCAAATTTTTACTATTGATGGGATTTGAATATCCAACCTACCACTTGGGAGGTTGACAACTTGACTACTTTACTAGGTCACCACACCTCTTTATTTATAATAATATTAAGATATATAAGAACTAATAGATATAATGAATATAATATATATAATAGATATAAAAGATATAATAGAAATA